CCAACGGCACCCAATTTCGTCGTCAGTGACTTCATTTCCCGCTGCCAAGTCAACTTCTGTCCACCTCGAGCTTTGCGTTATCCTATATCTGGCAGACTAAACAATGCCCTCCTAGGTAAGCGGTGACCAGGCATACGTAGCACGTGCCCGAGCAAACGCAAGCTATTCAGTGCTATCTGTTGTTCTGGGGAGCTAGCATGATTATCACTACCTAGTACTCGCCTACGCACATCATCATTGCGGACACGCTGGTGCCATCCGACACCAGCAATTCTTCGCAGACAACGATGATCAAAAACTTGAAGACGCCTCAGATCTTCAGACTGAAGGGACCAAGTCTCACTACCAGAGAGCAGGACGGCCCTCACTGTGGCCTTGTATACACGGCCTTGCAGACGGAGGGAAACTCCCTTCTGTCGCCAAAGATGCCGCAGGTTCAAGAACGCAGCTCTGATCTTGGTAATGGGTGAACTGACGTCAGTTTCTATGCGTCCATCGTTGTTGATGCAACTGTCAAGATAAGTGAAATGATCAACCACCTCGAGTTCCTCGTTAGTAAGGGTCAAGGGGTCATCAAGTGGTTAGTGGTCCTGCAGCAACACTTGACACTTTCAAAGGTGCGAAGTACATACCAAATAATGGGACCACTCTAGAGAGGCTATTCAGGGTTAATTGTGCCTCCGCAACATCGTCCAACAGCAGGACGATATCGTCCGCATAATCAAGATCAACTAATCTTCCACCAGGCAACACTTCAATGCCTACATCGTGAGATTCCGTAAGGGAACACTCCATGATAGAATCCACAACGAAATTGAACAAAAATGGGGAAATCGGACAACCCTGGCGAACGCCACTTATGGTCGGAAAGCTATCCGATAGGTCACCGTAGACCCTGACGCAGCCTGTACTGTTCGAGTACAGAGCGCGTAGGATGTTCACATATTTCGTGGGAATACCTTTCCGATAGGCATCCGATGGGTGTCGCGAGAAGTTGGCTGCAGATGGTTCTACTCCAGTAGCACTTCGGTTGCTGTCAAGCAAGCAGGGAATTAAAGAAGAAAGGAAGGTTAGTAATGGGGGTTGGGATGGGAGTAAGAGAAACAAGTGGAAAAGAAAGGGGGAGTCGCCAGCAGTAGCATGTTTTCGCTTATCCGTCCTGATGTAAGCAGCAGATAGGCGACCCTTGATAATCTGCGCGACGGCCGATGCAAGATGAAGTTTATGTTTGAAAAAATATTCATGGTTGTATGTGGGCTGAGATACTGCCAGGGCGCCCAGATCTAGACAGGAGAACGATTAGGGTCATCATCCAAAGCCTTTGGCTCAAAAGCTTGTCCGCAAGGCAGCGGGGTGGCAATGATTTAGTTTTACAGAAATGGACGCCGCCCCATTTCAAACCCCCAACCTGGAGGACCAGGAGACTGAGTTTGTCTGACCTCTCACCGTTGACCAACCTGGTAGAAGTAGCTCTCAAGGTGCCCGGAGGCACCACACAGTACAGCTGCTCAATGGGTCAAAGAGGTACGCAAACCGTCGCACCACATTAGGGTCCAATCTCGTTGCGACGGACTCCCAAACAAAGTTACACTACATAGGTAATACGTTGACAAGATTCAGCACCTGTATCGGTATTCACGTCACAACCATACGTGAGATGTCTTCACCCCCAGTGGAATCAGATGCGACTTGGCCTCGCGTGGCATCCAAGAACCAAGGGAATGGTAAGGTTGGCTTCTATGTTCCGACTTCCTAAGAAGTTACAAATGACTCTTGCGGTTCGAATGCTCTCCGTCTAGTACGAAAATAAATCTAAAGTTAAAAGCAGTCGTCTCTTAGTAGCGCCGACTAACGTTAGTCGCGACGAGCCCCATCTGACACCGATCAGCCTTCTTTTGATTCACACGAGGTAGTAGAGCATCCCACCTCAGACAAAAGGTATTGAAAGCGATGGAAACAGGTGAACTACAGCGCAACAATTTTTTGGCAAAATATGGTTGAGAGAATACCTCACAACCTTGCAAGTACGCCAGAAACGATTGCATCGAAAAAGAAAGTTGCTCCTCCGCGACTTAGTATTAGTCGTGTCGGAAAATGTGCTTTGAGGGCATTGGCCTCTAGGTCGTGTCGCTAATTGTGAGATCAAAGCCGACAAATTCGTACGTACAGTTTCCGTCAGGACGGTTTCAAGACTAGTGAGGACATAAGACGGTTATGCAGTCTAGTGAGCGATGTATAGTAGCTTTACAGTTTCCTTACGGGTGCAGGGTGGTAGTCATGGAGAACGGCTTTCATCTAAACGCACTCATGACATAGGAGATGCCACATAAACGTACGTGTTAGGATTCATGGAGAATGGCTTCTATCATGGTGGACCTTCTGTGATGTAAGCTCCCCAAAGCATAAGACCTTGGCAGTTGTGACAGCAGGACGGGTAACACAATAGGATGAGAGCCAGAGTGGCATCAGTCACTCAAGATACAAGTGCGCAGTCGAATTATAGAGGGCGGTGTAGTAGTCTTGCATGATTGGAAAATCCATTTGAAATCTGCTATCGGTTGACACTTGGACTGTACCTTTCCGATCATTCAAATGACCTCTCGTCGTGGTTGCGAGGACCGCTCGTGCACCGAACCATGTTCACAAAATACACGGATAATATGATCACCCTCATACCCCCTCCCATGTACATACGGTACTAACTGTTCACTTCTCTACCCTCACACTTTTGTCCAGTGGTTCACATCTGATTTACACCTTCAATCCCTCACTAACAATATTTGACCTCATTTAAGTTTGTTTCATCGGTAACAGGTGTTCCATGCACTAGGTATGATGTCGCTATCTCCGTGACGTTGTAACATTACCATCTCTGAGTGATGCTCAGGTCATCAAATTGGACACCCGTTCACATGTATGTGTGCCTTTTACCAACCACTCACTCTTTCCTCACTCCGTGACTGGACTATTAATGAATGGTCAGCGTCTTCGCTAATACTTTTACACGTCTATTGTGTGTTCACTGGTCCTCTGGCTGTCTGATCTGAACAGCGACTTCCTCCCTGTTGTTGACAGTGATATACCGGGATCCTGAACAATTGAGGTTAGCCCACTTGCTTAACTGTATATATTTTAATAGTACCATAGTTGTTATAATCCAACCTTTTCTGTTTTTTGGATCATTGGCTACGCTTAATTCGACCGGTGATCTTAACAGTGTGTTTTCATAATCACATTTCGTGCCTCATGCTGAGGCTGATGTTGCATTCTTGATGCTTCTTCACCGCAGTTGGGCTAAGCCAACTTACACTTAAGCTAGGTCTTTTTAACCTGGATAAATTTAATTCCACTTTATTTGATTTGTTCTGCCTACCTGAATAATCCTCTATTAACTGGCCACTTTGCTTACGCTAATTGCGCTTATCTTCGGTAACTTTGTTGCGTTTGTAGCATTTCTAAGTATCTTTTGGACATTTCTTACTTATCGCGGATTCGTTGCTAACCAACTTACTTCATATGCTACTTTAGCGAAGAGTTATGCCACCGTATCTGTATGCATTATTGGATTTATTTTATTTCATCTTGTCGTTTCAAGTGATTGGCTGTTGCTTGACATCCACGGTGTGGCTGCGCTTGATGTGCATGTTGACAAGGTGCCTACCTGTCTATTACCCACTATCTCGTCCATACTGGCTCCAGGAGACAGTTGGTCGTTGCTCGAGGGGACGGGGTGCACGGTCCTTGTGGCCGTGGAAGGCGAAGAGCGGTTCCGTGCACTCAGTGTGGAGCGGACTATGGTCTAGCCACCACCTTGTGTGCGCTTGATCCCCCAACTACAGCGTGCTTATGTTTTCCAGTTAAGGAGTGGGGGCCAGCTCCGTTGATGAAACGTGGCTTCCATCCACATACCTCCCGGTCTTATTCTTTCGGGTTTACACTGGATATGGAGTGTGTGGTTGGAGGTGTGGGTGGTGCAGCGCAAGCCACCCATGGTCCCTCTGTATGCGCAGGCGTCCTGTGGCTGGCCACAGTGACAGGCAAATCCGAAACCGGATGTGGTCAACCATTTCGTGGCGTGTCAAAAATCAGAACGCCATGCAGTAGAATCAAGTTGAACTGTTTGATCTCCACTACTGATTGTCTGCGAATTACAGCACAGCCAGAAACCCTCTGAAGCAGTTACACTGAGCGGGAAGATAAAGATACTCCCGCTAATCGTTTCAGTTACGACTCCGTATACGTGCTTCCTCAATGATAAGGCATTCTGGTAATGCATATCTTAAGTAATGTTTATGAGAACAAAACTCCCTTTGGCTTCTTTGTTCTGTGCACTACAACATAGCTTGGCTTATTATCCATATTTCCAGTAACACATATTGATAACAAACTAGAACGGGGGTGATTAGTGGTGGTACACGGCAAGCGACCGTGTCACTAAAACCGATGAAAGGAGACGAGCGCCCGTCTGGTTTTGTGCTCACTAGAAGCACAAGTGCACTGTTCCCTCCAGGTATGCGTAGCCTCGGAAGACAGCTAGTGTCTGAATTGCACGAGCATGCATAGCGGCTGAACATGAGGACCACACAATAACAATGCGGACACCTGCTAATTCAGCAAACAAACGATGGATCACTCTCATATCAAGTAAGGGATTTTACTGCCGATTGCCGAAATATCGATTCTTCCGGCTACTAGAAAAGCCGCATACGCGTTTACTCCAGATTCGAGTCCTTGGTCGCACATGTGTTTGGACGCATTTACAATATCCAATCCCCCGTAGAGCCGCATGTAGTTGCACAACAGCATTGTTGATACTAGTGATTATGTCGGTGATCGCTAGTGAGGTGAAGTCAACGCGCTGTGACGAGCTTAGCATTCGCACATGAATGCACATGTTTGGTAGCGAACTGTGAAGCCTCTCGGAATCCTTCCGGGGTATCTGATGGTGATGATGACTGCTAAGTGAGATTTCTAGGCGGTGTGAAGTGGGAAAAAGCCCAGTTGGTATTCAATGTCTTTCAGCCCCACAAATATGCGCTATATCGCAAAACAAATTACGTGCAGCAACGGCCTGTACGGTACATAACTCAATTTTCGCATTACACACACTGTAGTAGAAACAGAAAGAAAAAACCAAACGACAAAATACTACTGGGTTATAAGGATGCTATGGTCTCCATTAGGCTGGATTCGTGTAATCAAACGGTGGCTGTTGCAGGCTTCATATCTTTGAACTTGCTATAGCTGATAAGCATCTTCTTGATCTCACCGATTGCCAAGCCAGGATTCAGGCCCTGTGGAGGAGAGTGGATGAAGTCAGTCGTCTAAAACAAGTCGGTAAGCTGTATTTTGTTCGTTAATAGTCACTTCCGAGTGACAAACAGGAAGGGCTAAACATTAACAACAACAATAAATATCTTTTCACAGATTCTGTGAAGAAATGACAACTAACAAATGTGAGCTCAACGCCAATGAGTAGGCTTCCAATCATATGCAATATCAAGCGTATACTCCTAACTTTAATGCATCATTCGTACTGAGCGGGTAGCCAAACACATCTACATTCCGTGTATGGTTCAGTACACATCAAAATAAGTTGATTACTGGGTGGTGAGCGAGAAAGAGCAGGTATTCGATGGTAGAAGTGATACCAACCAGTGGCTCATAATAGTTGGGTGCTGTATATTCATGCTATGCAAGTCAACGAAAGAACTGTGTTAGATACTCCGTTTTACAAGCTAACGTGGATTAATGGAGACATGGCCGGAATTACATAAGAGGACAAAGTCTATAGATAACGCGATTTCCAAGAAATCAAAGCTCGGAAAACTCCCTAAAGAAACTAGGATTACTTGGGTAGAGAACTGGTGTGGTCGTTGCTTGCGGCCACTCGAGATGAGCCATGTGTGATTTAGTGACTTCGATCCGAACACCCAATCGTGACCGACCTGTCCACCAAAATCCGCGTAGAAAAACATTTATCGAGATAAATGCCTAAAAGTCAGTGGGAAGAGAAATGAAAGTTTGCCACCGAATTCTCAACTTCACCATTTCAGACAGTTTTGATCTAATGTTACTTGGCACTTCAGTTCAGTTGACCAACAGTGGATCGTGTATTGAAATCAGATGGATGCAGTTGCATTATGTCACGTGTTCAAATAATCGGAATAATAATGGTTACCGATAATCCAAGTATAATGCACGTCGGGGAAGCCTGTCAGCGCGCATACGGAAAATATCGCTAAGCCAACGTAAGCGACTAAAAATCAGAAAACACTCGAGTGAGGATAAAACAGTCGGTCCCCTTCAGCCATTAGGTCAGAGTAGCGAGAAGACATAAGTTGCGATATGTAAACATTTCGATTGTTCTCATCAGTCGCAAATACAATACAAGCGGAATACATGGTTGGCGGCATCCGGTTTCGGATTTGCCTGTCACTGTGGCAAGCCACAGGACGCCTGCGCCTACAGAGGGACCATGGATGGCTTGCGCTGCACCACCCACAGCTCCAACCACATACCCCATATCCAGTGTAAACCCGAAGGAATAAGACCGGGAGGCATGCGGATGGGAACCACGTTTCATCAACGGAGCCGGCCCACACTCCTTCACAGGCAAACACAAGCACGCTGTATTTGGGGAATCAAGCGCACACAAGGCGGTGGCTGGACCGTAGTCCGCTCCACACTGAGTGCATGGAACCGCTCTTTGAGCCTAGCACGGACACAAGAACCGTGCACCCCGTCCCCTCCAGCAACGACCAACTGTCTCCTGGAGCCAGTATGGACGATGTAGTGGGTAATAAACAGGGAGGCACCTTGTCAACATACGCATCAAGCGCAACCATACCAGGGATATCAAACAACAGCCATTCACTTTAAACGACAAGCTGAAATAAAATAAATCCAATAATGCATACAGATACGGTGGCATAACTCTTCGCTAAATTACCATATGAAGTAATTTTTTTGGACATCATCGGTAGTGCGCATCCATCGGATCTATCAGGATTCGAACACATGACCACCAGCGGCTTGCACGGCCAGTCAACAGCTTATGCCATTGGGCCACGGAGCACAGCTTCGGACCGTCGTGATTTACAAGCCAACTGTGATATAGTGCGTCTTATCCTCCACTGCCATGCAAGTTACGATCGTTGCATAGGACAGGGTTGGCCCCGGAAGAATACAGGTTGATAAGCCCTAATCAGCAAAGCCCCACTAATGGCCAAAATTATCGGATTGTTGTTGCGTAATAACACTTCGAACGTAGTCTCCAGGTTTACCTGATATCGAGTTGCCAAGAGAGGCTTGGTGATAGGTGATGCTGGGCTCCGGTTCATCCTCGGATCCACTCCGTTTTGTTGCGTCATCAGTTGTTCCAACCACCTCGGCACATATTCATCTACCGTCTGAGCTAACTGACGGTCAGTCCTGCCTATGTAAATGTCACCGCAACCGCAGGTGAACTGGTAAACGACGTGAGAGGCCGAACTGACTGATGGGTTGCTCCGACGGTCATGAAGAAGAAGGCTTCGCGTTGTATGTATGAGCCGTAACTGGGCGGTCGCGTAGGTGCGCGTAAGGACGGACCGCAGTTTATATCCGATATCATTTGATGCATGATCTCCTTTGAACGGCAAGAGCAAACAAACATCCTTTTTCTCTGCAGTTAACACCGGTATTTTCTCCTTGGGAGGGCTGCTATGGATCTGAATGCACTTCACAAAATACCCATTCGACACTAAGGTTCTGTACAAAAATTCTTCTTCAGCTTGCAACATTTCAGGGCTTCATATCGGTCTGGCCTTGTAGTAGAGCGTTTTCAATAGGTCACGTTTGCATGCGACTGCGGCAAAGCTGGAAAAGTGATACTGCCCGCTCCGAGTTGCCTTGCGATGAACCGTACGCTGTAGTGTAACATCGGTCTGTCTCTTAATGAGTGTATCCAAAAATGGCAGACTATCGTGTTGCTCCAACTCATGGGACACCAATAGATTTGGATGAATATAATTCAGAAATGTCAACAGCTGTTGAAAGTTGAAGAATTTTTGTACAGAACCTTGGTGTCGAATGGGTATTTTGTGAAGTGCATTCAGATCCATAGCAGCCCTCCCAAGGAGAAAATACCGGTGTTAACTGCAGAGAAAAAGGATGTTTGTTTGCTCTTGCCGTTCAAAGGAGATCATGCATCAAATGATATCGGACATAAACTGCGGTCCGTCCTTACGCGCACCTACGCGACCGCCCAGTTACGGCTCATACATACAACGCGAAGCCTTCTTCTTCATGACCGTCGGAGCAACCCATCAGTCAGTTCGGCCTCTCACGTCGTTTACCAGTTCACCTGCGGTTGCGGTGACATTTACATAGGCAGGACTGACCGTCAGTTAGCTCAGACGGTAGATGAATATGTGCCGAGGTGGTTGGAACAACTGATGACGCAACAAAACGGAGTGGATCCGAGGATGAACCGGAGCCCAGCATCACCTATCACCAAGCCTCTCTTGGCAACTCGATATCAGGTAAACCTGGAGACTACGTTCGAAGTGTTATTACGCAACAACAATCCGATAATTGTGGCAATTAGTGGAGCTTTGCTGATTAGGGCTTATCAACCTGTGTTGTGTGCATAGAAACTATTGAGATAATCAATTAGATTACCGGGGTCTGGATTTTGATATTTTGATTGGTGTGCCAATTTTTCCCTGTATATAACTGTCTATGTATTCCGCTTGTATTGTATTTGCGATTGATGAGAACAATCGAAATGTTGACACATGGTAACTTATGTCTTCTCCCTACTCTGACTCGAGTGAGGAACCAGGATTCTTGCCAAAAACCAACTGGCGGACCTCAGCATTGCTCACCCGGGATGAATACTCCGAAAGCACCGGTGGTTAAACATGGCCAGGCGTTTAATGCCTTCGCTGCGAACTAGCCAGGTCTCTGATCCATACAGTAAGACCGGTCTTACCGCAGCGTTATACACCCTACCTTCCACTGACAGACTGCTATCCCGCCATCTCCAGAGATGGCTGGGCCTCTAGAAAGCCACACGGGCCTTGCTGATACGTGAGGTAACTTCCTCAGTGATGTGACCACCAGAGGTGACACAGCTACCAAGGTAAGTGAACCGATCCACCACTTCCAACGGCAGTTCGGTGATAGTTAAAACCGGTGCGTCGGTCCAGTCCTGTAGCAGTACTTAACACTTTGAAGGTGCAAAGCACATGCCGAAGGATGCAGGGCTACGCGTTAGTCTATCCAGCAGTGTCTGCTAGCCACTGCGTCAGACCCAAGAAGAGCTATGTCGTCCGCATACTCCAGGTTTACCAGACAGTCACCTGGCAGAACTTCCACTGTGGTAATCTGAAAGGACGGAGTCACTTATGATCACTACAGTAACAAATTTGAAAAGGGAAGATATAGGACAACCCTAGCCAACCCCACTTGTCGTTGGAAACTAAGGAGACAGTTCTCGTAGACCCTTACAAGACTTCAGGAATCACAGTAGAAAGACTGCATAATGGAAAGGAATTTATCTAGCATGCCCTTCATGGATAGGCAGTGCCACAAGCTAACGCGGCTAAGTCGAAGGCGGCTTTCAAGTCAATGAAAACCACCATGGGTCGGGCTATATCGCAGTTAGGTTTCAATGCATGATGTTCGGCTGTCTTCCCCCATGGCTCAGTGGCATAAGCTACTGGCTAGTTGGCGTTAGCCTTTAGCGGTCACGGGTTCGATCCCCAGTAGGGGACCGAAAAATGCGCACCTCTGACGGGTTCTAATTGGGCGAAATGCGTGTCTAGTGCTTTTCCGGATTGGTGGCTTACCTACGCGGCCTGGAATCTAATTACGATGGACCAAATCGAAAACCATCATAGTCGATCGTCTGTACGTGTCCCTGCTCTAACACTTGGCGAAGAGTAAATATGTAGTCGATACAACCAAGACCAACGCGGAAGTAAGTCTGGCTTTCAGTGATACGGTTTTCACATGGACCTGTAAGTCGTCGGAGAATGAAACTCGTGTGAAGTTTGGATGCAACGGAAACAAGGCTAATGCGTCGATGATTCTCGCACAAAGTACGCTGACTCTTCTTGGAAATACGCACGACAGCTGACAGTCGCCAGTCTGAAGACGCCTCTTCGGTGTTCCATACCGTATTAAGCAGAGGAGCGAATCCAGTCAGAGTCACAACCACCTTTCAGCAAAAATGGAAAAAAGTCGCTGAGTCTAGGATCCTTATTTCGTTTCAACACAGAAAGCTCAGGTCGAACTTCTTCCAAAGTGGGAGGTGTGATATCTACTTCCCACGCCGGCTAAAACGATTCAGCAAGCGGCAGTGTCGCAACAGACCTGCTGAACTGCTCTTCAAAATGTTCCGCCCAATGGACCAGTCGACGACGCTGAGAACAGATCGACTCTGTCAGCAATCGTTACGCTATCTGATGGCTTGCTCAGGCCAGTGTTCCAGATGAGCTGGAAAAGCACTCGGTTGTTCTCATAGACATCAGTGGCTAAACACAGACACTCTCACCCTTAGAACGCAACGGCCAGATCTCTAAATCATATAGTAGGATTGGCCGCATCGCAGTGCCGTATACTCTTCCCTACAACAATGGGCTTATATCACATTGTCTCCGTGAGTAAGTGGGGATCACACAAATCCTACTGATGTATGCAGTAACCACCCCGGCGATGCGACCAGCAAGTGGTGCGGCTAGTTAGGTAAGCAAATCAGTCTGTTACATCGAGCAATATTTCAATAATTGTGAGAAATGGAAATGGGTCGGATACGTAACGGTCCGTAGAGGCCGATCGGTGAAGATAAATGTGTGGCAGTGTGAGGGGAAAGCAAAAACAGCCCGAGAGCAGTAGCAAAAACAAGCGGATAACCCTACCTTCGGACACGTTTCCGTGCAATTCATAATTGTGTGGCATCGATAAAGTGACCATTCGTTTTGAAAATTGGTAAGTCGTTCGTAAGTATAATCATCCCGAGAGTCGATCAACCATCTATGAGGGGGCCCAAGAATATGGGCGGGGAGGAAGGAAAACGAAACAAAAAGTTACCTGATATTGAAGGTGATAGGTACAATTTTCTTTTCTGTGTAATTGTTGTACTTATTCGTATATGTATTCCATTGATTTTGGTCGCGAGATATCTATGGACGACGGCTGAGTATCAAACGACATCCCTTTCCTGAGGATAAGATTAGGTCCACAAAGTTCAATGCAGTCGAAAATATCTGTTGAGAAATAAGTACACACCAGTTACTGCTGTCAATTTATCTTCTTCAGCACTCATTGCGCCAGTGAATGCTGAGAAGCACTGATCATGCCCGATATCAGACGCATCAAACCACCCTCCTTGCGAACTTTGGAGTGCACATCCTGTCACGATAGAAGTCTACCGAAAAGCCTCGACTTTTAGAATCTGGCCGTAGTGATGTGCTTGTGTTGTTAGTTTCAGGTGATTGTTGTCTTAACTCCGTTTTGCCCTTCACTACTGTCAGCTTTTGGAACTTACCTTTCTAACAAAGAGTTTGCCATATTCGATGGTTAACTACCGTCTTGTTTAGCCAAATCCTCTGATTGCTACGGTTTCCTTGTTAGAACATCACCACTGATCGTCTCAGCATCGGCCAGACAACAAGAACGTTTCTGAACTAGCAGTGCGGTTACTTCAACCCCACAGAGTCATCACAGCACACAAAAACAAGTGCTACTTCGAAAGGGTTACTTTCGAGACCGAAGGACAAAATCAAACAAGGTAGTCAAACCCATATAATCTACCGGATAAACTGCAGCGAATGTGGTAAGCAATATATCGGAGAAATAAGTATAAAGCTTTCCACGCGGATTACAGAGCATAAGAAGGCCACAAGAAGTCATTACCTCTATTCATTCGTTTCGATACACGATGATGAAGCTAGTCATCACTTTGACCTGGGAAACGCAAAGATGCTAGCACATGGGAATACGAAACAGACAAGGAAATTTCTAGAAGTATGGCACTCCACGAAGAATTCAATTGACAATCAATCTACGCAAATCTAAGAATGACTTTAATGGAGAGGGACCCCATACAAACAGCTTAGACAGCATTTTCAGCTGCGGAGTCTAATGGGACGTGGTCACAAGGCATGGGTCGAAGAGGCCATTTTCACATGTCCAAACGACCGATGACGATGACGTATAAAAACGCACGCGCGTGATAACCCCGCTCACATTTGTTACACACACGCTTGCACTGCTACGCTACGCTACACACCAACACACTGATAATGTCACCTCGACTGGTGACGAAACGTTTGCAACAAAATGCCAAGCTCAGTGAATAGTTCGTTTAACTAGTGAACAAGCTGAACTACTCACATTTACTTGTATATCAAATTCCTCTCTACCTTGAAATGTCCATCATGCAGTTCCCAAGGCCGAGTGGGGCTGTGGGAGATAAGCCCCCTATTTGGCCACAACAAGCCCCATCGATCACGGTTGTCCTACCCCGGATGATTCGCATTCAACTGCATGGATCACAAAGAACATAAAGTGTTCACCTCTAGCGATAGCTGTTTCATGTGCCGATGTCTTTCATAGGTCGAGTGAGAACGAACAGTACTTGGATGTTCTTAAATTACGGCGACCACCATCTCACTGCCTCTGATCATTTATCAAAGCTCTAAGTAAATCCTGACAGTACAAATTAAACGCCGCCTTAAAATGTAGCAGACAACTCACACAGCTCCGCGGTCAGTTTCAGTATTTACACATAATTCCGTCGGTGGTAGAATTTCGGGCTTTGGCCACATAAATGTCTTATGGTATACGTACATTCGCGGCTATGTGAGGAAACGATGCGTCACTCGCAGCACCTGTAAATAACTATGAGTAGAAAATGTAATATACGCAGACGAGATTCAGTGCAGAGATACTCGCAGATGCAAGCTGTTCGATTGAAAAAGGATTAGCACTGAATGCGGCACTTACCGATAGGCCTGCAATAAGACAGCGGGACCCAGGTATTTATCCCCGTTCCACCAGTACGAGGGGCAAGAGGCGGTGCAGCATGCGCATAAGATGCATTCGTAAAGTCCATCTAATTTGGCACGATCCTCAACGGACTGATAATATGTTGCTCGGCCAATGTCCTCCTCCGACACGCCCTTCTTCTTCAAATACGGCTCGATCGAGCGATATTGTGCATAGAAGTTGCTCATATCTGGCACCAAGTCTTTGATTACAAACATGTGAGGGAGTGGGTAAATTTTCGTGGGTTTGCCTAGATTTCGGTCAATTTCCCTAAACAGCGAACGCGATAAGTCAGTCAGGATGGATACCCATTTGATAAAAACGGAGTGGATAAAACGGAACTAATTGAAACAAACAAACCAATGAAATGAGCATTTCGTGAAACGAAAGTACAGAAAATTAATCCGGCAAATAAAAGACGCATCGACAACCGGAGTCGCGGTTCGCACAGTGCTGGAGACTAACCTATATTGCCATAATTTGAGATGGTACCAACTGCATGATGAAAAAACAGATGTGCGTGGATATTATCGTTTTCAAAACTAGAAAACTCGAGCGTAAACTGTCCACTTGTTCATGAAGTCCCAGCCAACGACCAAGATACACTCATCCGATTTGAGGGTTCCATGAAGGTGGCTCAGCTTACTTAAACAACTATGAACTGAAGGAGTGCGGTTGACCCAACTACCATAACTCAAATAACCAGGATAAGCATAAGGAATAGTAGTGGAGAGATGGGATAGAACACTAGGTAAACAGAAAAGAAAGCAGAAAAAACGTAGGTGAAATTAATCTTAGTAGGTCAACAGCTAGATACAAAAAATGAGTGCAGGAGTATTATTGCTTTTGTGGTTGTACCATGTTAGCTAAGTACTCCAACTACTGATGTGGAAGATACTGAGATCCTCATCCACAAAGACGGTGTGTTACATTCTAATTATCTTCCTCAGTCAATTTTTCATACCTTTTCGCGACCTCATCGACTGGTCACGTCGTGATTTCGCCAAACTGGGTACAGCAACGGTAAACCAACGAAAGTAGAATCAAGTGATCAACGAGTATACTAAAAGAACGACTTAGCGAACACAAGCAGTCCAAATAAAAACGCCGACTGATGGAGTTCAGTATCGCTCACTTAGTGCTCCTACTAGATCTCGGCAATAATACGTAAGTACCGATGATCAAATACACCAATTTATAAATGCTTTAGTTCGAAGAGGCCGCGTTTTTTATCCATGTAGTGACATAAATCTTGCTGCGACATTGTACAACCTGTGCCCAACCGACGGGTCGATATCTCGTCTTCGGAAAACCACTCGGACTTTGCTCGTGTGTGCAGCAGGCGCATCAGTAATGTGACCACCAAAGATTCCAAAGCTACTTGTTCTATAACAGAACCAGTGTGTTGGTCCCAGTTCGAAGGTGTGAGGAAAATGAAGAGGCGTGCGGCGCCATGTATTGATCTATGCAGAAGTATCTGTACCGACGCCGTCATACGCATAATCCACGTCTGTCAGTTGGTCATCTGGAAGAACTTCCACCGCAGAAAATGCTGAGAAAAAGGAGCCATTTACTATCGTCTGAATCAAAGGTGTAGAGGTGACCAGGTGGATCTTGATTGCAGAGAGGAAGTCAACAGGCAGCTTCCTGTAGGCCCTGATATGGTCCCGAAGGGTGCAGCGCACGGGTTAGAAAATAAAGTTTTTCGGCATCATTCCAAGGGTACGCCGTACCACCGGTGATACAAAATCTAGGTCAGAGGACCGAGGAAGTGGTCGACAGGAAGAGTGATCCGCAGAAACGGTTGGGTCATCCACGATCAAATGGTAGGAAATGAGAAATGGGTCAGGCACGCCAACCAGCTAAGTCACGTTTTGTTTGGGAAACGAAGCTGAGCGGCTACATAGATCACAACATAAGATGCAAGCAGCAGATGACGCACAATGCAGGCCAACCCGAAAGCGGAGACAACCACCATGGCTGCAAGTTGTTCCCATAGCGAAAACCTATGAATAAAGTCGGGTTCGAACGGTACGCTGGCATACTCAATTTGAAAGGGGAGGTAATAGAGGCGTAAGCGGAGCACGTAGGCTGTCCGCTACATGCAAAGGTCATCAGCACGGGCGTGCTACGAGCTTTGACCTTCCGCTGAATTTGGGAATCGAGTGAGAATTGATCGGCCAGCAAATACCAACCCACGTCAAAGGAATAGAACTATTCCGCCAATATGATAAACGCGAGGAGTGGGACTCACTCACACTGGCTCAAAACCAGACGCAAACAGTGAGTGACCTTGACCTCCTGAATTGGCAGGTTTCGTTTACCAATAACGATAGTTAACCTATGCTGCAGATATACTCTCTCTGTCTACCCAAGTTCTGGTCTTTTGCATTCCTTCGGTTGGCTGGGCGCGTGATTGAGCAGTCAGACAGTCGCAGTCTCACAGGTCAACAAAGTAGCAGTATAACAGTTGTCAGTGGCAGAGAGCAGGGGAGAATCAGCAGTACAACACTTGTCAGTGGAAGGAAACAGAGAGAAGGAAGCAGTGTTAAAACAAGTAGTAATCAGCTCTAGTTCATCAGCCAGATAATCGGTCAAACATATTCGTCTGGCACGACTGAATAAGGTCTTGACAAGCGCCCGTTTGTACCGCATTGGCGTGAAACGGGTGAAATGCAGAAACTGGCCGGACTACGTTGCTTTTCGGTAGACAGATCTTTTAACTTGTTCGTTCGCTCTGCGGCTGATGAGAATGCCTAAATAGGGAAGGCAGTTTTGATGTTCAACTTCGCAGTTGACTTTCAAGTTGGCGTGCACAGCGTCTACACGCGTCACTAGTTGCGTTAGCTGCCGCTCTGATGAACAATACGCCAAGATGTCATCCACATAGCATTTGTAGTATGGCAGCTGAGCTAGTTCTTCGGATATTCCTTGAGCTAAAATGGGGCCCAGTAGGCAGTCCATGGCTACCCCAGAAATTAGACAATACGGTATGTTCCTGAAATGAAATTCCATATTCGCTGTATACAGAAGCGATGATTCTCGTAATAACTCAACCGCTATCGATAACGAACAACCGAGACTTTTTGCCAATTCACAAATGTAGTCTACCGTCTGATGCAGCGGGACGTTAGCAAACAAGGATTCCACATCTAAAGAATGCATAACTTTGCCAGGTAGATTCACTTTAGTGAACAACGAAAACAATTCGTGTGTTATCGTTACGGCCTGAGGCACTCTTACACTTCCGATTGCCGGCACAGAGAAAGCATCTGCCGATAAGCTCAAGCGGATCTTTTAGGCCGTATAGATTGAAATGAGCTCTTAGCGAAGCAGTTTCATTAACCAGTAAGCTACTTTATATTGACATGAGTTTACCAACGAGAGGATTGGTCTGAGTGGCACTCCACTCTTGTGCGTCTTCGGAAGCCCAGATAGCTGCGGTGTGGTTGGACCACTTGGCTTTAAACTGCCATAAGTAGCATTTGTAAATGATAGATTATGCGGGATCCGAACATAGCTACGTCGTCTGCCTTCTCAAGTCGTCGAAATTTGTTGCTGTCATAGAGTATAACACTCATATTCGGAAGTATCCAACTTTATTCATGACAACCACACCTGAGTCTACCCGGCTTCAGTACGTCTCTAGCGCGCAATTCTCGTAGCGCTTGCATAGGCCTATTCGTAAGCGCGCACCTTCCTTTTATTGCTGCAGTTTTTACTTCATGGGCGACATCGGTCAGTTAGTTTCTGCACAATATAAGCTTGCTAGAGTTGGTTGGTGAAAGGCTATTCACTTGATCAAAGAAGTTCTCAAACTGAGTATCAATAAATAACCCATTTAGCCGTATTTGAGTACTCTATAATCCAGTCCGAACGACAGTGTCACGTGCGTGAACGACTTCGAGCCATTTACGTCAGCCGGGCGCGGATTGGTTATGACTTACACTAGCCAACCGATCATCTCACACGCCCCCGGTCTCGCAACGCGAGTTTCCGTGAGTCTTGTAGCTTCTTTAATTGATTGACAAACCTGCTGTTGTCAAGCCATGTTCTGCTTGTTGGAATTACGGGTCTCGGAAGCATGCGTTACATGACTAGCAGGCCTACGTTAGGGTGATGACTGAAATGATGAACCCAATGTTGAATACACTTCCTATCTTTTGGTCATCTGCTGAAAAAAGCCGACCTTATCTAACTGGGTAAGATGGAAGAAATTATGTACTAACTACGTGGAATTACTTTCTGTAATGAATCCGACTGTTTGGCTCTTTGTTTCGTAAAAACAGATTAGTCAGACAAGCGCTAGGAGACGGCATAACGATGCCTTGCAGCTAGAAAACTATGCCACCTCCAATTCTGCTTTGGATACTTATACCACATTATGGGGACTAAAACAGAATGTTTGCACAGCTAGATAGCGCATTGCAAAACTTGTATAGAAGCCGAAGGGAAGTGTCGATGATTTTATTGCACATATTCATCGGTCTGTTACTGAGTGTAAGTATAATGAAATTCCACCTTGGAAAATTGAAGAGCTAATGAAAATGCAATCGGACGAAATTGTTAGAGAAAAGTTATTATCTTTGGATGTGTCGGCCGCTACATACGAAAACGTTTGTCTCATTGTTTACCAACGGGAGAATATTACACATCAAATACGTGAGTTCACTGGTCGTCCGGTAGTTGATGATGTACATGCGGTCCATAAATCAGACATTAGTGAACATCGAAAACAATTCGCGTGTTATCGTTGCGGCCTGAAGCACTCTCACACTTCCGATCGCCGACACAAAGAAAAGATCTGTCGACAATGCGGCAAGATAGGCCATCTAGCTCGCGTGTGTAGAGCGGAAAATTCCCGCCAGACGAACATCGCTTCATCAACGCGTCAAGCAAGATAGGGCTAAGTGAACATAAGACACTATAAAATTTTAGCAGTGAAGTTAACTCAGTGTACTTGAACAGTGTGGCACACAAAAACTGTTTTCCTTACACAATACGTCTGACGATAGAAGGTGAACCGATAGACATGGAGTTAGATACTGGGGCAGCGATTACAACTGTAAACCGCGGTTCAATCAAAAAGTTACCGCTTTTGAAACAGTGCAATGCAAGATTACAGAAGTACAGCAGTGACCCAATTTAGGTGTTGGGTAGATGTTTCGTTAAAGCCAGGCACGGGAGCGAGAAATCATCCAACTCTTAATCGTTGTACCTGGGAACAAACCGAATATCATGGGTCCAGACTGGATACAGTTCTTCCTCGAGACAATGCAACACATCAAACTCCTTGCTGAGGACGGTAGTTTGAATGCAGTATTAAACCGGTTCTCATCGTTGTTTGAAAACAAATAGGGGAAAAAGCAATATTTCAAAGCTTTTATCAAACCATAGGAGAGTGCCGAGCCCAAGTATTACTATGCAATGCGTCCTAAAGTTGGGACAGAGATGTAGCGTCTGCAATCAGAAGAAATCAAAGTTCGGATGTAACATTCAGACTGGGGCACTCTGGTTGTACTCAAACCTGACGGCTCTGCCCGCATTTGCAGAGACTGCAAACTGATAGTCAACCAGGCAACGAAGTGAAAAAGTATCCCCTACCAATTACTGACAACTTGTATGCGACGTCAGTCGGCGGCCAAAAGTTTTCCAAATTGGATCTAAGCCACGCATACTCACAGGTCGAACTCGGTGATGGGACACGGGAACTGACCACAATAACCACCCACCTGAGACTTTCCCAGTACGCACGTCTCCCGTTCGGAAAAAAATTCAGCACACAGCATTTTCCAAAGGATGTTGGATACTACAGTCAAAGACACCGTTCACCTGCGCATATTTGGACAGTATGCTAGTTACTAGCCGTAGTGACGCTGATCATCTAAACATAATTCGAACTATTCGCGAGGGTCTGGACGAGTGGGATGAAAATAAAAAAGTCCAAATGAGTTCTTATCCGACTCTGTGTGTTACTTCGGTTACAAACTGGACAAAACCGGTCTGTATGTCCTGCAAGATAAAATAGCGCCTATTGTGCAAGCATCCCAGCCCAAGAATAGTGATGAATTACAATCATTCCTAGGAATTTTGTCGCACTATCGTTGTTTTCTACCGGATGCCTCAACCATTCCAGCATCATTGAAGGAATTACTAGACAAAAGCAAGCCGTGCATATGGAAGAACGAGCATCAGACTGCTTTCGTTTGTGCAAAGAAGTGTCTAGCTTCCGCACGTTTTAGTCCACTACGATAGTGCAAAACCGCTAATCTTACAGCGTGATGTCTCTCCATACGATGTCGAAGCAGCTCTATGTCACAAAATGCCGAATGATGTCATTTACCCGGTTGCGTTTGCCTCACGAACTTAAGGACCCGCCGAAAAGAATTACTCCCAAATGGATAAAGAAACGCCAGCAGTTATACTCGTTATCAAGAGATCTCACCAGTACATTTGGGGCAACTATTTCGAAATACAGACAGATCACAAACAACTGATATCTATGGTGAGCGAGTAAAGCGGTATGGAACAGATGTTCTCACGAAGAATGCAACGCTGGGAATTAATATTAAGTGGAAATAAATATCGAATCGCCTATACTCCTGGGCTGAACAACCATACGGTGGATGCATTAACCAGGTTACATGCGACCCCCAATGAAATAGTGGATGAACCGGTAGAGTTAGCACATCTAATGCAACACCTCAAACCACTTCATTGACATGTGACACCATAGGTCAGTGGATTGATCGTGACCCGACGCTATCTTCGGTAGTAGGATTAACAAAAACCGGCTGGCCTACTAAAGTCCTGTCGAAGCCTTACGAGCAACGGAAAAATGAATTGAGCATGTACGATGGATGCTTGTTTTGAGGATCTCACTTGATTCCACTGTTAAAGGCACGCCCGGTCACTCTAAACGAACACCAGAAAACACATCCAGGCGTAGCCCGAACGAAAGCCTTGGTGCGCGGTTAGTACTGGTGACCTGGTCTAGATTTAGAAATAGAAAACTATCTAAAAACATGTGGTCTGTGTCAGCAGTATCAGTCTAATAAACCTCCCGGTCCGGTACACCCTTGCCATCGGCCTGAAAAGCTATGGCAACGCATCCATGCGGACTATTTTTGACCCACTAATGGTGTATTTTTCTTGCTGCTAATTGGCGCTCATTCGAAATGGATAGCTATTTAGCCCGTTCCCACATCTACTACGGAAACAACTATCTTGAAAATGCGGTCGTCATTTGCAATATTTGAGATACAAGAGACAGTGCACAGTCAATGGGCCATGCTTCACTAGCAAAGAACTTGACATCTTTACGGATTGCAATAGCGTTCAGCACGTCCGTACAGCTCCACATCATCCTGGGTTAGTGGAAAGGGCGGTGCAGACCAAGAACTATTCAGACGAGATTAGATCGTTTGCGTCCAGTATAACGCCAACAGGGGCCACCGGTAAATCACCTGCGATGATGTTTGCACTAACACTCCGTACCAGACTGGATCTTCTGTTACTAAATCGTCGAGTCCAAGTGGAGAGAAAACAAGACAAGGCTGCCGTATCGCAAGATGATCACGACTTTGACTGGCAGCCGGGGGATCTCGTATACACACGACGTCCGCATGACCACTGCTGGCAACTCGCAACTGGGATTAAGGGTGACTGCACCCGAACAGACTTCGAATTAAGTGGTCGGGTAGTACGGTGACAAAGGTCACATACGTTCACCTTGTGTTGGGACAACAGCAGATGAACATGTGTGAATCAGATTCCATACAGCCAGCAACAGAGGCAACCCCCTTCTCCAGGATCCTGAGCAATCGTCAGATGCAACATTGCTGCGTAGACCTCAGGGTACGCATAAATCCGTCGATCGTTTTGTGCCAGGAGTGTAAACATTTTAAAAGATGAGATGTCACGTGCGCGAACTATTTCGATTCGTTTACGTCAGCTGTGCCAATCATCTCACACACGCCCCCGGTCTCGCAACGCGATTTTTCGTGTGCTTTGTACCTTTTTGACTTGACCTGGCTGTCCAGACGAGTTCTGCTCACTGGGCTTAGGGCTCTCGGATGCGTGCGTTACATGCTTAGCAGTACTATATTATAGTAAGGAACTTTGAAAATGTAGCTACTGAAGAAAGCCCTCCACGGAATTTGTACCTTCTCGGTGGTGCAGTGTGCACCAACTAAAAAGTGTGTCTCTGGCGCCTTTTGACCGTGCAAGTGAACAGCAAGCACGCGTACGCAGAGGAAACGCCAGATGCTTTTCTCGGATCAGTAGGCAGACTCACCAAAAACTTGGTGTCAAAAAACGGACCCCAGACGGTTATCAGACATTTCTGAGAATCATCCCACTCGTTCATGACCCTTGATCGAATAACTGGAGTGAGATCTAGAGATGATCTTACGAAGAGCAAGTCGATTCCTTCGAAAGGTGACCAAGAATAGGGTCACCCCAGTGGGAGCTGGGGCGACTACGTCCACATGAGATCTGCCTAGTTGGTAGCTGATTTGGTGGGTGAGGGCAGCACAGAATAAGTCAGTAAGACGATATCCTGAATAACTAAGTGGGAGCACCTCATAGGTAGCTGGTAACAAGGATAGCGAATGCATTCCAGTGATTGTATAACATGGCAGGCTCAAGCAAATGAGTAATGTGGCGCAGATACGCCGGTACATCCATTCCCAGTTTGCTGGCAAACCCAAACATATTATGGTTCACGAAGAACGTAAACAAAAGCCTAGCAATATTTTTCCGTTACGGGCAATTAATAAACCATGGTGAACCGATGCCTAGATACTGAGCATTGCGATTAAACCAAAGTTCAGTGGTCATATTTCTTATTAAAATAGTCATCATTGGCCGATTGCCGAAAGAATTACACGATTACCAGTTAATCCGGAGAACACCGGTTCGAATCCGCGTAGATGCAGGAGACCTCGTAGTATGTCCAGTTCACACGCGCCCGGTGATAGTCGCACGGCAGCGAAGCGCCGGTACGGTATGCCGCCGTACTGATAATACCTCTTTATTAGGCAAAAACTGTGAATAGTTCCAGCGAGGAACAAAGTCATAGGAAATTTGATCGAAATAGCAGGAGCTAAGGGCGATACCGTGATTTAGACCAACACCAAGAGAAGTCGCAGTATGCAATAGGGGTATACGTACCAAACACATGCTAGATGATTCCGTCCACCGATGTTCATCGCGCATGAACCACAAATGCCTTCGCGGCATGAGCGACGAAAAGTGAGTGTGGGATCTTGTTCATTCTTAATCTTGATTAGAGCATCCAACACCATCGGCCCGCAGTCATTGAGATCCACCTTGTAATCCTGCATGTGAGGTTTCTGTCCAGGTTTGTCGGAATTCTGTAAGTGTGAGGATATACACAACAACACATAACTGATTGTGAGCCGATAGTGAGTTCGCGCTCACCGCAAAAAACGAAGGCTAAGACGAAAAAGCGAAAAACGTCTTGTAGTATCCTATTGGTATGGTCAAAAGTAATTTCAATTAACCGTGAGCCAGAACGGGCTCAGCAAGCCAATGCTCCGAAAATGAGTATTTCGATAAAGTCCACATCGAGTTTGGATAAAGACCGCGATCTTGATAGACTCCGAAAATGTCCGTGTCTCCAATCAAATAAAGCATGGCGGACAATAAAGCGAATGGAAGTAAAGACAAAAATCATGATTCACAAAAGGCGAAATCGAGGCGATTAATTCAGGGGTGAGTGTGATAAATGAAACTATCACAATGTTGATAACGATTGATACTCAAAATGTCTCTATACGAATGGGATCTAGCAAATTAGCAGCAGACACGGGAGAAATGGGCTTCCATTCCGTCTTGTCGGTGGCTATCGTTGTTCTACGACGTTGTTAATTCGCCTTGTCAGTTGGTCACTAAGGCATTCATTCATAATAGCAGTAAGCTCAGCTTTCGCTGTTTGTAGATGGCTTAAAAACTGACATGTGAAAACTGGATACGGAAAAGGGCATAGCACAGCCTAACGCCTGACGGTCAAGTAGGCCAAAAAGGCATGGGAACGGCCACATCAGGCGATCGATATCGAAGGCGCAAGCATGTTCCAGTTAATCGGCATTATGTGACAACAAAACAGAGACTTACCCACCGGTAAACAGAAAATGTCTTCAGCTGGGGGGCAGATGATGTCGCAGTGGACGCATTCCGTATCTTTCATGAAAATAAACAAACGCGGTAGTAGATCAATGTCAACGCTCGCGCAAGTCGTTCGGTTTCGTGCTCATGTGAATGAAGGAAATGAAGAATATGAGAACATTGCCGTATAAGGCTGACACTGATGATTTATACAAACCAGATACCCCAGAAGAGAGAAGGGGTTTGTTAAAAAGGACATGCAACCTGCAACACCACAAAAAAGCCAGAAACGGTCGGAAAAGTGTTTCGCTGATCTCTCAACCTAGGAGCTGGCGAGGAGGACAAACAACCGATTCCCATAGGCCGATGCTCCATAAAAAAGAATGTCATACGATCAAAGTCATGCATAACATTTCGCCAGAATACCACCGTTTTGCCGCTAATTGAGTGGCGTGGTGGATCCCATCCGAATGTCACACTCAGGATCAAGAAACGTAGGACTTTGTTTCGGAAATTATTAGCCTACTACGAGTACCGTGATTAGGCCTGTAAATCATTTACCGAAATGATTGGTAATGCGATGTGTTGCATGTTCATCTAAGCCACTGCACCGGCACTAATTCCTTGCGTGGAGTCTTCATCAACAACAATAGTACATCAGAGGAGGCGCTCAAAATAGTTGTGTCATTATCTGCGTGGCATTAATGATGTCTGTCGACACCAGCCTGTTCGCAGCGACAAGCTGTCCAAGCAGGTGTAATTTGGTGAAAATGAGCATTGGCAATAACAGCACATGAATAATTGGAAATATGCTTCGCTGAGGTACAACCAGAATGAAGGAAATAAATAATAAGTGGGAGAGGAACAGTATCTAGTGTAACGCCTAAACACCTAAAGCAGGCATACAAGGTGTAGGCGAGTACAGTTTGTCAAAGAGACGACCACAAACAGATGTCATCATCATCAATGCACATTAGCTAAAGGTCAGAAATACTTCAGCCACTGCCACAATACAAAAAGATGAAGAATATGAAAAAGTGAGATACCAATTAGCACAGAACAAAAAGTGAAAACCAAAAAAGCAATATATTATGCATCGAGAATGAGATCGTGATTGGAGGGGAAAAGTAAAGTTGGGGGAACAAAAAACCACAACACGAACTTCACTGAGATCGGATCTTTGTCATGTCAACAATTTTATCCAAGCCAGCGTGTTCATCGTCCTTGTGATCCCAGTCCGGCAGTCGGGAGACACCAACCCACGCCGTGAGGGATTTCATTCCACTTGGCCGTCCCTACTTTTCTTTCATCCAGACCCCGGCAGCGCAAACTGTGCACGTAGCAGAAGTCGGTGCGTTGGCATGCGCAACACGTGGCCCAACCATCGTGGCCTGGCGCGTGACATAACGGTGCTGGGCGGTTCACTCCTATTCCTTCATCAAATACGCGAATTTGAACACGCTCGTGGATCACACGGTGTTCCCACCAGACATGAGCCAAACTGTAAAGGTAATAAGCCCTCTACATCTGCTCATCTGATTAGCCAGATTACGCAAATGTGGGGAGAGTTGAACGCATGGCTGCGCTGTCTTTCAGGATGAAGATAAACAGTCAGCTATCTTTTGAAGTTTCCTTGAAACTTTTAATGCTCTGCGCCATAATCAGCCACTACCTCGCAGATATCTCATCGTGACACAGGTTCAACACGCAATCCGTCTAGGGGATAACAAACGCGCCACTGTTGACGGTCGTGGGCAATGTTCTGTAAAGCTCGAGCTAGGCACAAGGTGGGTTGCATGGGCGCCATCCTGGAACGCGCGACGACCATGGGTACTCAGCTTAGTTGTCAGCGACTTCATTCCCCGCTGCTAACTCAAACGTTACCTAATACGAGCTTAGCATCATCCAACATCCGGCAAACGAAATAAGATCGGAGTATATGGAACAGTTGCGCAAACCAACGCAACTTCTTCAACATCAGGTGCTGCTTTAAATAACCGACCTGATCAATAGAGACGTGGTTTGTTATCTTTCCACACGTAAGCAGCGAGTGGAAAACACCTCAGCTATTGTGCTGCAATACAAAAGAAAAGATGAAAAAGTGCAACGGAGGGATGCCGACTGGGTTGTAAGTAACGGATGGACATCGTTCTGGAGAGCAATCAGCCGCCAATTGTGCCGCAAAAAAGTCATATGCCTAATAACTGAGATCGTGGTTAGAGAGCGAGGCAAAACGGGAGGGAGAAGGACAAAGAGACTCACAACACAAACGCCATGTCAACAAGTATCCAGCCAAACGTGTTCATCGTCCGTCAGTCACCAACCAGGGAGCCAAGAGGCTCTAACCAAGGCCAACTTCGAAGTAAGAGCCTTCATTCCTATTAACCAAGTCATTTCTTGACCACCCTTCCTTCGCTTCCATCCACACTCCCGGCACGCAAACAACGTACGTCGCGGAAGTCGGTGGGCCGGTATGCACAACACGTGGCCCAGTCATCGGAGTCCGATGAGTGATGTAACGGTGCTCAGTGGTTCACTTCTTCTTCCGGGGTCATAAACAGGGCGTCAAACACGATCATTTCTCACACGGTGTTCACACCAAATATGAGCCAAACTGCGAAGGCACCGGTTGTCGAGCGTAACTAGGCTCTTTACGCCTGCCGATTTAATGGGCCGGGTTTCACAACCGAACAGCAGGATCGAACGTACGGCTGCATTGTACAGTCCACCCTCCAATGAGAGTGATGTCGCGCCTGCGCCATAGGTGGCGGTTTGTGACCTCGTCTTCAATTCTGACGGCGCTGATAAAAATACCTATGTAGTTGAGCTTCTAAGCGACTTCTAGCTGATCCCCAGCACGGGTCAGCGCAGGAGGCAGTCAATGCCAATCTTGGAGGAACGCTTTGCACATCGAGTGTGTAAAGCATAGCCCGAAACGGTTGACAGCCAGTGTTAACCTGTCCAGAGCCGCTTGGCCCATTTGTGAGCAGTCACAGATGAGGGAAATATCATCAGCATACTCCAAGCCAAAAAGTCGTTCACCTGGGAGCAATTCCACACCTTCTAAGTCGTGTCTTGTGAACGCCATCTCCATAACTTTGTCAAAACGAAGTTGAAGAAGAAAGGTGACAGAGGGCATCCTTGTCTCACACCGATGGAGATATTAAAGGGCGACGACAGCTTGCCGTAAGCCCTTATTGCTAGAACTACGCGCGTATGAAGCTCGGATAATGTTTACATATTTCTCGGGCTAACCTTTCCTGAGTAGACAGTCCCAAAGGGCATATCGATCAACCGAATCGAAGGCACTTTTGATGTCGAGGAATACAACGGTAGTCTGCCAATATGTGACGGTGCATCAAAAATTGACGCAAGGTGAATATGTGGTCGATGCATCCCCGACCTCGACGAAACCCGGCTTGCTCCTCATGAATCTGGCTTTCATAAGCGACAGTCAGTTGGTGAAGAGATTACAGAGGCAAGCAATTTAGAAGCGATGAGGATCAGACTGATTCCTCTATGGTTGCCGCATTCCGAACGTGAGCCTCCCTTAAAGATTGCGGCAATAACGCAGCGGCTCCATTCGGTTGGGACAGTTTCCTGCTCCTACATTTTCACTAGTAACTCTTGTAAATCGTCAACAAGTGCAGGGCCCCCGAATTTGTAGAGGGCTGGATGAAGAGCATCTGGTCCCGCGGCTGTATTCAATTTCAACAATCGCATCTCACGTTCGACTTCTGAGCGAGAGGGCGGATAAAAAGGGACACCCCAAGGAGCAGGGCGATTACTGGCCGGTGAGGAATCTAACAATTCCGGCCAATTAAACTGCTTTTCAAAATGCTCAGCCCAACGCTCCAAACGTTTTGACAAGTTGTGGATAGGCTGTCCACTCTCGTCATAAATAGTTTCACTTACACCAGGTCTCCTGATGTCCGGTTCCCGTATCAAACGGGATAACTTCGACGGTTACCCAGGGCAGCGGACACTTCCATCTCTGACGCTGGATGAGGCCACCAGGATTCGCGGTCTCTCTTCAGGCTAGCACGGAGTTTGCCCTCAGGTCTTTGCGAGTCTGGTTGTGTTTGCTTTTAGCCGGAATGTGTCGCAGAGCATCGATAAGGTCCAGGGACCGCGAATAGACCCAATGTCCAAGTTGGCTGCTAGACTTACCAGATGAAGATTTGCCTCCTGCTAGTAAGGTCTGGTGAACATGCGACTAGTGAACTTCAAGTGTATTCAGTGAGCGTTTGCTCAACCAAAACGCCAGCGTACTTCGTTACATATTCAGGACACAGTACTCAGTGGTGCATATCGTTGTGGACACGCTGGTGCAATTCGACACCAGCAGTGCTTCGCAGGCAACGATGGACAAACATGAGGTGCTTCAGACCATCTAGCTGAAGAAATCAAGTCTCACTTACACAGAGTAGGAGAGCTCTAACGGTGGATCTATACTCACAAATTCTAGACCTGTAAAAAGAGGGGGGTCAATGAATCACAAATGACCTCATCTCTACCCTTAAATAGCGTAGGTGTGAGGGAATCCGGACCAGCAGCTCCAAAACGACTGAAGGATGTGGTTGCGTTTTGGATCTCAGTCCTCGATAGAACCACTAATGTAACTCACCATGGTTCAGCCTGTACTCCTTGAGTAGCAAGAGGCACAGGGGCAGTGGGCCAACTTAAGTGCACTTGGAAATACTCTACCCAATGACCCTGAGGCGCCCCATTTGTCGTGGTAAACCCAGAACATGGGTTGCCGTAGATACATGGCAACGGGTAGTAACACCGAAACTACAGAACAGAGGAATTGCTCGGGTGCACACACCAAAGATAGACAGCGGTACAAACAGGTGTCACCGACGGAAGCAAAGATGGTCGATAAAGCAAAAAACACTAACATGATAGGCTGTAAGAATGGTGACGTTCAAGCACCCGTCAAAAAGTATTAATGTGGTCAATGTATACTCGATCAGGATGGAAGCCTGCCTGACTTCGACTGATCCTGGTCCTACGACGGTGAGTTAGTCGCCGCAGCATGGTGCATGTGAGTAATTCGAAGAGCACAGCGACAT